GGGGTTTGTTCAATTACCCAATTGATACTACGGAATGGGGGAACAGAAAGAGACTACTATAGGGGTTTCTTGAAGTCACCCAGTTGCTAGTAAGGAATTTCTGGACAGGAAAAGAAAATGGAGACTACTACCTTGGGGTTCAGGGTTTAGGGCAGGAAATGGAGGAAAAGATCCATGAAGATCCCAGCAATGTAGTAGTTTCCATGTTCCCCGCTCAAGTTCCTTCATTCCCTGCTGGCATCCGGCCGGGCGGATGCCTGCCTGGGCGGATGCATGCCGCTCTGAATCAAATTGATGATACATACAGATACATATATATATATATATGTGTGTATATCCGTCTACCATTCATGGGATGCATGTGTATGTATGTAAATTTGCATGTCTATCTGTTTGTCGCCACGTATGCCCTTACTTATGTACGTGTTTGCAGCATGCAGGCATTCGCGCACGTGTGTATGTAGGTATGCATGCACGCATGCATGTGTGTATGTGTGTATGTACACTCTACACATGTGAGTACACAAGTGGACACGTTGCATTATGTATAGCAGCTACGGCGCCCTGCCCAACAGCTTGCTGCTTTGCTTGTCGTACACAGCGTTTCCTGCATGCCTTGCCATTTTCAGCAAGTTTTGATTGTTGACGTGCAAATTCCCTTTAAGGTGTTGTCTTCTCATGAGTGATGCAGGAGAGTGAGAGGACATGGAAGCTTTCCGGATGCGCCAGGCCATTCTCCACATGGTGCAGGTTGCTCACGATTACGAGCAAGTCGGTTAAAACAGTGCTGAAACAGCGGGCGGTGCCATCGTTGGAGACCCGAAAAGTGGCCCCATTAAAAAACACTGACTGAGTCAGAGGTGTTGGTTGGTGCAAGGCTTGACAGAAATCATGGCTACAAGGTCAAGGCCCTAAATCAGGCCAGGCTAAACCACACATCACATTTCCTCATGATACTTGACGGCACGACTTGACTTGGATTGTTGGAGATTACGGTTTTTTTGGGTGGTATTTGTACAACAAGGGTTATGTTGGAATGGGGGCCCTAAAGAGACCACAATTCGGAACACACCCTGCACTTGCACTCAGGTTCGCGCGGGTAATTAATCTTTCAGAGCTGGCAAGGGCTGCCTTCAGAAACTAGGCTTCTTCTGAACAGGAATATGCTACGGCAGTGGATTGGTCAACATTGGATCTTGAGTACCAGGTGCGAGGAGCTTTTCTACTGTAACTTGAGGGAGCAGACTGCAGTCCCTGGAGGGTCAAGGGGATTTAGTAAGTAGGTCAATAACCCTTATAACCCATGTAGTAACCCTAGTTCTCCTAATTATGAACCTACTTAAGACTGACTAAGTCCCCATGACCCTAAACCCAAAACCCTAAACCCTAAATACTAGTTTCCATTTTCTTTTCCGTTATCCTTATATAACCCCTATATTACCCCCCCAAGGACCCTCCAAGTAGGCTACCTGAAGCCGGCGTCCTGGCTCTTTCTTGGAGCGCGGAAGATTCCCGCCTTAGTCACCTGAAGCTTAAGACATGGCGTGCGCGTGGGTTATCCTGCTTGGCCGTTGGGCGTGGGTTGATTATCGCTATTATTTTTGTTTTCTATTAGTAGTTCTGCTATTAGTGCTATGATTATTACTATCATTATTACTGTTATTATTGCTGTTATTATTGCTACTCATGTTATTACTATTATTATGAGGCAAACAAATCGCGTTGACTACAACTTGTAGATGGATGCCCAGCACACAGGAAGGTTCTACTCTGTCAGCCAGTCCCCAGATCAAAATTAACAGTCTTTTCCTTGATGAAGCGTAATACAGGGGCTTAAATGATTGCCAATATCATGGGCCTTTATTCCTTTGAAAAAATTAGTATAGGATACTCAAATAGACCTCTACATGACATCGATAATCATCAAGGTCTCTGCTTTCTGCACCAAAGCTACGGAGAATCCTTGCAAAAGTACCACTCTATCTGCGCCTAGAGGAAGCTTAAATAGCAGCCCAGTGAACGACGATGTTTTTGCCTTTGCCACAAAGTGTAGCGTTTAGAGTGAACAGTACAGTACCTACTTAGGCTAACCGTCAACAGTACCTATGTCTTTGGCCTTTTGGGGGCACTAGAGCCTTACGCGCCAGACCAAGCAGAGGTCTTCCAGGGCTGAACTCGCCTCTATATTGGGGGGTTTACCAAAATCAAGGGTACCATTCTAGGAGGCGCAATAATAAGGACTATATAGACTATAGTATTTTGGGGCCTAAAGTTGGGTTCCCTTATTTTGGGAAAAACCATATACATATTAGTCACAGCCGGATACACCCATGCCAGAAGCCGGAAAAAAACGTATCAACCCACAGCGCACCAGAAACCCCAATTGACTATTCAGAAGAAGCTGAGTTCTACAGAATCCCACCTGGGCAAACTCTTCTAGTTCTCTTGTGTTAGAGTTCTGTCTGAGAAGCTTGTACCCAGAAAAGGAACAACATTCCGGACCTCCTACACAAACCATTATCTATATTGGGGTTATACAGTATATGTTGGGGCTATATGCGGTTATATAGGGAGAATGTACAAGAACATGGAAATTGCTTCAGTATATTATCCCCCTATAATGGAGAATCAAATGGAAAAGAACATGGAAAGCGAAATGGACACGGTAGGGTTTATAGGGTGTATATTAAGGTTATATTCCTACTTGGACGGTCAGAGGTCTTCGTATGTAGGTTAAGAATGGCGGCAACTGGGGCTGTTGTATAGCTTGCCGGGGTTGTCAGTATACTGTACTAAATCTAAGTATGCCTTAAAGCCGCAAATTAAGAACTGAAAGCCCTAAACCCCCAAACCCTATGCCCTAAACACAAAACCCTAAACCCCAAACCTACGTAATCGCTTGAAAGCCGGCTTGTCCTGTGACTCCTGCTGCACGGGCCCAGCGGCGACTAGCAAAACTGGAGTGGCCCTCGGGGGCCGAGGCCAATGCATGGAGGGTTCAGAATTTTGTGTGCAGGGTCTCGAAATCAGGGACGAGGGCTTGGAGGTTAGGGTTCAGAATTCAGGAATCAGGCTTTAGGATTGTCGGATTTAGGGATGAGGGTTTGGGTCTTACGCTTCAGGGTTAGGAAGCCCAAAACTAGGCGTTGCTGTGTTGGCAGCCCCAAGCCTTGCGGAATCTGACATCTTGGGGACCTTCGGGCTTTAGAGAGTTTAGGGATTTGGGGCCCCAGCTTCACAGGAGAGAGGACTTACATTCTTTTACCTTAAACCCCAAGCCTTAACCGCGTGAGGTTCATATGTTGTCCTTCTGGAATGACAACAATGAAGTATCAAATGACTCCTACCTCAATGTTACAGACATGGGATCCCTGACTACCCCCCCCTACTACCCCCCATTCCTGGATTGATTCGCCCTGTAGTTGTCCCTTATATAACCCTATCAGGGAGGAACCTTTGGGTAGTATGGAGGGGGTAGCAGGGGCTACATGCTTGGATAAGTTGTGGTGTGCTCTGCACCTGACAATGTTCATAGGGTTAGTTACCTATATCATGGTCTTGGGTTACTAGTATAGCTATAATATAGCGTATAGGGTACCTCAAGTGGACCTCACAATAGTACTGGCAAATTCTTAGCTCCTTACATTGCATTGCAAAAGTTGTATGCAATTTAGGTGCATGGTGATTGTTGCCACATTGATGCTAGGCACACATCCTTCACGCTTTTTTGGCGTGTCTGCTGTCAGTGTGTGTGTGTGTGTACAACCCTGTGATCCAAGGGAGAACGTTTTTTCCACGTTTCTATGTTCACATGTTTACAAGCAGGGGGCAGAGGCGCCCATACAGACTCCTCTGCTAACAAAGCTGGTCTGTAT